TGTGGACATGAACCTGGTGGCAAACCTGCTCGAGTCCTACAGTGCCCAGGCTGGCCTGGCAGGACCCACCTCGAGCATTTTACAGAGCCTGGGGGTGAATTTACCTGAGAGCACAGAGCTCCCTGGCAGCTGAGCAAGGCAGGGAGAGCCTTGGTACAGGACATGGCTGCTGGGGAGATGGAGCACAGACACACGAGCAGGATGTGGGAGAAGAGGCCCAAGGTTTGAATTTGGAGCATTCTGTTCATTATGTGTCACTTCAGCAGAGTGAATTTACCTGCCAAAGCTTCTGTTTGCACACTGTCTTGGGTGGAAATGAGATTTTCCTAGTGCTGACACAGTTTCAGAAAAGTGGAAAATGATGTTGAATGAATGACAGAAATGAGGTTTTCTTTTACTACAACACCTCTCTCCCATTTTTCCAATCAGTGATCCAATTTGCCACATTTCTAAAATGCCCTTTTACCCATTGCTGAGTGGGGTCAATATCTGGGGAGCAGTTCTTGTTCTGAAAATGCTGCTGCCTTCAGGGGCAGGTGGGGAAATACCACACTGCAGGAAGAGTAATTGCATCAAATGTGTAAATAATGGCCAGCAGTATTTTTGAATTTTATTTCAATAAAAACAAAAATACAACTTGATTGCTGGATTTTGGAGGTATTACTTCCTCAGTGTAGTATCAGTTCTTGGAGTGAAAGTATTTTTGTAATTGTTCATTTTCTGAATGAATTCCATTATTGCTGAGTGTTGATATACAGCTACTGCTGGCATGATGGGAGTCCAGGCTGATCAGTTTGAGGTTTTTTTCAGTGAAAATGTGGCTGGAAGGCATGCAGCATGATGCTTTCATGTGGAATGAACAATTTATTTTAAATATGACTAGTTTCAACAAGATAAATTTGAAATAAAATACATAGAACATTCTTGATACACAAACACCAACAGTGCAGTCCTGCTGGGTCCAAATCAGTTTCTTAATTTCTGTTTATTTCTGTTTCATTCAGCAATCAACAAGTTATCCTGCACTGATGTTGTGTAATTTCCTTTGTCAGCAGTTCAGGGAGAGCACTGGCAGGTTGGACAGGGATTAGAGATGGACAGCAAGAGCTGGGAAGTG